TTTACATGAAGGAGGACACTAAAGTAGTCAGTGAGTGAATGAATGAATAGATGAATGACAGGCTTGGGAAAGGAAATTGCTTTACACATCAGTGCCTTGTGGGTGGGTACTAAGACAAACCCTGCAGGAAGGCTAAGAAAATGATTCTAATTCTGTCCTTCCTTCTATAATTTTTAGGCATCTCATGTGAAACTACAGGTGCTATTGTGAGGTTATTGCCCTGGACTGAGGAGGGACCCACACAAACAAGGGAGGGTACATCTGGCATCAGTATTCAGTGTCAAAGCCAACTCACAATTTGTAATCAGACCACTGAAACATAAACATGAATGGACGTAATGATGGGCCAGGTCAGCAGTCTGTCCCTGAGAACAATGTAGTAGGCATCGAGAATAATCCGCACACACTTCTAAAGTTCTTTAGGATTTACAAAGCTTTCACGATCACTGGATTTGAGTAGGCAGGGTGGAGATCATTTCTACCCCTGTTTTCGAGATGAGCAGACTAAGCTTAAGGAGAAATTGAGTCTTGCTTTAAAAGTAAGTGAGAAGAAATAACTCAGGTCTTCTTTCAACCAATCCTCAGGAGCTGGTGGGTGTCAAGCATTCTAAAGATGAAGGATATGTGGTTCTTCCCTCCAGGGAGCACTCAGGGTTGTCAGGGAGACTGAAGAAGAGCAGGACAAGTGCTAACCTTATGACAGGAACAGGGGATACTGGAGTCCAGAGTAGGGATAGGTTTGTTCTGGCTGTAAAGTCAGAGAAGTCTTCGTAGAAGAGGAGACTTTTATGTGGGATCTTGAAGGGTGGGTAAGAATCTCCTCGAGATGGAGAGAAGACAGTGAGGAGGACACAGAGAGAGGGGGCTGTGGCCAGGAAGTGTGCCACCACATGCTCCCTCTCTTTGGCTACTAGGCATTCGTCTTTCAATGTTTAAATCAATAAGGACAATAAGAGCAGATGCTGTCATTTGCAAATGTGAAGGTCCTAGAAGTTCCTGTAAAGCACCATCCTCTGGGCCTCACCAAACCACGGCGGCAATGAAATGATCTTCATGTTCTGTAGGCAACTCTCCCAGAGGGAGTGTGAATTTGGGAATCATCAGTTAAAAGGAAACTGGTGCAGTAGTTGTAAAGGAGTGAAAGTCAATGGAGGATTATTTTAAAATGGGAGATACTACAGCATGTCTTAGGATGAAGGCAATGATCCAGAAGGAAGGCAAAAACAGTGTCCAAGCATCGACCTGAGACATCAGCTTGAACCTGCTCTAACTGACATTCAGTTCCCTCTTGCAATGTCCTCTCCATGACTTAGTGGATAATGCACCTGGCTCCTGGGGTCCACACTCTCCATCTCCAGTCTTTTCCTTTTTCCCCAGTTCCACATCTTGTCAACACCAACATCTCGTCTGGGAAAGCAGATGAGAAATATTCATCTAGCTGGGGCTGCTGCTCCATCCACGTATCTCTTGGAAAGGAAACACAAATACAAGTAGAAAGTTATAAGGGAGATTGAGCTAACCAGCAAGTAATTCTTGGCTCTCACAGACCTCAGAGACCCACACTCAGTAGCATCCAAGTGCCTCCCATGAAACCACTGGAAAACAGCTAAGACTTTGACTTTTAAATCCGCATAGTAGATACATATCGTCGTCTCTGTATCTTTCACTGTAGACCCTGTTGTATTAGATTCTTTAGGGATGATGATCCAACCAATGGCCAATTACTGGGAAGCAATGCAATCCTTCTTCAAACCCCTTTCTTGCTGAAAGGAACTTGGGAAGTCATACTGTTATCAGCTCATTGGCCCAGAAATGGACACATGTCACTGGGCTTCAGTCTGGTCGAGCCAATCAGCTTTTTTCTTGATAAAATTTGTGCCAAGAAACATAGAGACTCAAGTTATGAGTATGCTTGGATTGAAAAGTCCTGAGATATCAGGACAGGAGCTAGTATTGTGTATAACAAAGCTGGAGCCATGGGCAAGCCTAAATTATGGAAGAGAGAAAAATAAGAGTCTTGCAGAGAGGTCCAGTCTGCCAAGAAAAGAATGGAGTTAGAGACATCCAGAAAGAGTTAGAGACAAGAAGTTCTGTAGCCACTGAAGACACAGAGAGGAGACGTTTCTGTTCCCTTGTGACCCAGCATTACTCATTTCCTGTCCTTGGATGTCAATGACAGTTCTCCGTATCCTTTCAGCAATCCCTCTTTTCATTTGAAACTGTTTGAAAGAGCACCTGATCCTGTTTGCCGACATGCCCTAAGTAAAAAAAGTGCTAAAACCAAAGATGTAGTATATATGAACTAATCGTTGAAATTCCTTGGTCCAATTCAGTAAACATTCCATGAACAGCTTCCATGTGCCAGGTGCTGCAGGCATTCTGAGAAAAATTGAGACCCACTATCTGTCCCCAAAGAGTCTCCAGTTTGGTAAAGTGTGTTCCCACATACCTAGAACACAAGGTAGTTTAATATTAGTACCCTACAAGAAGTGCAGATGGAAGGCTGGAGGAATGGACTACAGCTGGGGAAGCAGGAGAAATTGGATGGAAGACAGACAGCCTTCAAGGATGGGTGGAATGTAATACTGCAGAGAAAAGAAATATGGAAAGTACAAGAATCAGAAGTCTGGTGGCATAAATGGGCATGCAATTCATGGGACGTGATAAACTGCATGGCTTGAGAGAATTGGTTAGGGGGAATATGAAGATGAGTTTATAAGACAGGTTTGATTGTGATTATAAGGGGCCTTGAATGCCAAGTCAAATCTGTTACCATAGAATCGTAAGAACAGGAAAAAAACCTCGATGTTATCTTTTCTAACTCAGGCAGTTTAGTTCCTAACCCTCTTAAGGAGGCCACCATGACTGAGTACATCCCAAGTGCTTATATTTGATATTGTCATTTCAATGGCAATGACTCAGAAACTACTTTTCTCCCTCCAACAACTTTCAGTTCTTTCCAGCAGTGCCCTCCCACTATCAAAAAGAGTCGTAGAGCACAGGGAACTAGGTCTAGAAATTTTGCAGCACATCATCCAAAATAGTTGTTTGTGAAGTTAAGGAACAGGAGAGGAATGGTCACTGTGTGTAGCACCAGGCACAGTGCTTTTAGACTTCATAACATCTCATCTGTGAGGCAGATATGCCAATCCTTTTTTCAGGTGAGAAAATCGAGGTTCTACCAGGATGTCATCCAAAATAGTAATTTGTGAAGTTAAGGAACAGGAGAGGAACGGTCACTGTGTGTAGCATCGGGCACAGTGCTTTTAGACTTCATAACACCTCATCTGTGAGGCAGATATGCCAATCTTTTTTCAGGTGAGAAAATCGAGGTTCTACCAGGACTAGGGAAGTTCTCCAGGCCTGACAGATGTAAGAGGTAAGGCAGGGATGTGGCCCAGTTTTACCACAGCTATGTGCTTCCATTCTCTTCTCTGCTTCCTGTAAGGCTAGACAAGCCTGCCTTCAAGTAAATATCACTCACTTACAAAGAAATTTCAAAATGACCTTCAATTAAATTAATGGCTGATGGCTGGTAGTGGGTGGGTAGAGGGAGCAGATTATAACAGCAAAAGCTTCATTGCATGAATTTAGCAAAGCTCTAAACCTTATAGACCAGAAGTCTACAGAAACATTTGGCAAAATGGTTTTTTCTTGTTAAATAATCCCAGGACTCAATTTATAATAAGCCCGAGCAAGTCCCCAGCTCAAAAGCCCTTATCATCTTACAAACTCCTCTTGGAAGCACATGGTGCTTCTGGCTCCCGGAAATAGCAGATACTATTGCCTCCATCAGTAATGTCATCACTTATTGCACAAGGGGAAACGGAGGAAGAAACAAGCATGTTTAGGGAACAGAGGAGGAGGCAACATGAGATTCTCTCTGGGATTCTGTCAAGCTGGAACCCCTCTGGAGACAATGTGTTGTCTCTCTCTCCGAAAGTTGGCAGTTTGAGATGCCAGGAGTCTCAGATGGGAGGGCAGGGTGAGGGCAGGGGAGAGCATTGTCAGGGACGAAAGACGGTTTGGAGGCAAGAAAGCCTAGGATGAACTAGTGGTAAACGGAGGGACAGGCAAGCAGAGCCAGATGGAAGAGGCCTGTGGGAAGTTTGGACCCAGCCTGTGTCTAAGCAGAAAGGCCAGAGCACGTAACACAGGTTGCCAAACTTCAGGGCACATCGGAATCACACGGGAAGCTGGTTAAATCCTTGGGTACTGAATCTAGGATGGGGCCAGAAATGGCGTTTGTGACCAGTTCCCCAGGTGATCTTTTACAGGTAGTCCTTAGGAAACAGTGGTGACAGGATTTTTCTCTGTGGATGTCCATGACCTGCTCCGTAAATTGAGAGGTGTGTCAAAGATCTCTACTGTCTCTGTCAACTCCGACACTGGGCTTCACAAACGCTTCCGCATCGTTTCTCTGCCCAAGCTTGCAGGCCTCATTTTTTCTCTCAACAGAGTTGTTTCCTATGCTTTTTAATTTACAAGGCAGGTATGTTGTCAGCTACCTGCTCAACTCTTGAATAGGTCTTACAAATAATAGACTCTAGCAACTCCATCTGGTCTGCCCGTTTGGGTAAAAACAAGACAGCATCGTGTGTGTTCACGTGGGCGTCCAAATGGGACAGAGTCCCTCTCTCTAGAGGCCATGGCTTGGGGCCAGGACAAAACCACTTCCAGGTCTCAGGTCACAGGACCATGCAGGATGATTTATTTAAGGAAGAAAACTTCAAGGGCTTAAAGGAAATTAAACATGTATATTTCTCTAGCAATTATACATGTGCTTTCCCTTGCAAAAGAGTCCCCATGCCCTGCCTGGAAGAAAAGCCAGATTTCTCAATGAATCTGTGTTTTGAAGGCATCCAGAGAGGGATGGTGTTTTTCTAGCAGTGAAAGCCACATGAAAGTCTTTATAGCAGCTTTGCACTGTTTCTGCTATGGCTTCTTTCAGGGCCGACTGGAGAGTCAGGGAGTCCTGTCTG